GACATGAACAAGGATGCGAGTTTCGTTTCAAAAAGATGTCGTTCAAACAAAGTTTACCTATTCACATTAGATTTCAAGTGTATCAATTAGCGAAACTACGAGTGCTTCAATTTTACTACGACTCTATTGATTATTCCATTGACAAAAGTGATTATCAGTACTGTATGATGGACACTGATTTAGCTTACATTGCTATATCTGATGAATCGTTAGAAGTCATAAAACCAAGCTTAAAAGATGAATTTAAAAAGAATCGGCATCTGTGGTTGGGAAGAGACGATACCATTGAGAATAAGGTGTATGACAGCAGAACGCCGGGTCTGTTCAAGTTGGAATATGAAGTAAACTGTATTATATCATTGGCCAGTAAAATGTACTATTGTGATGAAAACAAATTCAGCTCAAAAGGGATTAACAAGAAACAAAATGAAATCACAAAACAAAAGTATGTGGATGCTTTAAAAGGTAATTCTACTCAGGAATTTGTTAACAATGGATTCAGAGTCAAGAATAATCAGATGAACACATATTCATTAACAAAGACAGGAATGAAATTGCTTAATGACAATGGATTCAGAATTGGGTTTCAAATATTTCCAACTGAATTATAAGAAATCATTATCTTGTGTTTAGTTAATGGAACAGTTGTATGAATTATACTACAATCCAAAGACAGGACTCCTTTCAGCGCAAAAACTTTATCTGAAACTCGACAAACAAGTGCTAATGAAAACAGTTTAGGATTTTCTTCAGAAACCAAGAAGCGTACCTTCATTTAAGAGTATCAACGTGTATTCAGTCAATGACCAATGGCAGATTGATTTGATTGACTTTTCCAAGTATTCAAGATGGAATAGTGGATACAAATATCTTCTTTGTGTGATTGATGTATTCAGTAGAAGGACATTTGTCGTTGCGATGAAGAAGAAATTAGATAGCACCGAAGCGATGAAGAAAGTATTAGATATAGAAACCCCAATTATTATTCAAAGTGACAATGGAACAGAATTTTAAACGGAGCATTTCAGCGATTATTGACATCCAAAGGTGTTCGGCATATCACGGTGGAAGTAGGCGACCACAAGCGACAAGGCATAATTGAACGATTCAATAGAACACTAGAGAACATCATTGCTCTTTACCAAGAAGCTCGGCGAACAAATACATATATTGATGCACTGGAAGATATTGTTTACAATTCCAATCACACTTATCACCGAGGTATAAATGGTATTCCTCAGCAGTTGTCCCTAGCCCATAAATCCTCTCGATCACTGGATGTCATCTCGGGGGGCCTCTTACAGGTGTTGGTGACAAAGTTAGATTGCTAAAAACTAGGCAAGCATTTCGTAGAGGATATGAGCCAAAATATAGTCAGTATATATAAGGTCATCAGTGGTAATGGCTATTCGTACTTTATTGCAGATGATGATGGTAATATTCTTCCAAAGGCATACAAATACTATGAACTACAACGTATTGAATCTACCCAACGGTTTCATACAGAATCTAGACAGAGAGAACCACGAATGACAAATAAGGAGCGTCGAAATAAAAGAGAATTGGAAGAATTGGGTAGAATTAGAGGTCCAGCTCATAAAAACGGAGAACATTAAGCGGAACTTATTTTCTAAACCAACTGTATAAATGACATTCATTAGTTTCATTAAAACTCGCCAAGCGTACATTCAATGTATTAAGAATTGGGATTCGTATTCCGTTGACGAACAAGAACAACTAAGGAAATGGTACCGAGATTACTATGCCAAAAACAAACAAGCTGAAAGGAAACGATACCGAGACTATTATGCTGCTAATACCGAGGCAGAGAAGGAGAGAGCTAAAAAGTACAAGAAAACTAAACAATCAGAGGACAATGTTTGGCTCAAAAACACACCCGATAATAATGAAATTTTCATAATAAACACAATAGTTGCAGAGATTTTCTATTTACAAGTTAATACAAAAGATACATTAATGTGGTGGAAATAGGTTTGAATGAATCGTGCTGTCTATCACGAAGATATCAAGGAGTGTACAGCTAGAACTTTTTTCCATCGTGGTGGACATTTTCAGTACTTTGCTCTCCGTGAAAGAAAGTAGCAATGTCAGTTCCACCACTGATGACTTTATCATTATCACTGCAGTCTGAAGGAGTCATCGACTGACGAGGAACTACTTGTTGCGAAGGTTTTCCACCGCGGTGGAATTGTGCTCGTTTAAAACATTCATATCGTTGTCATCCATTTCATCATCAACATTCATCCAGTAGTGTTCAGAGTAGAAATCAGAAGAGTCCAAAGCTTGACACTCTTGAGACATAAACCATTCCTTGATTTTTGGATCATACTCCTAAACACTCTAAAGGACACTGCCAGAGTTTGGAATTTCGGATACTTTGACATAAAGGCATAATACTCCATGTAGTAGTAGTAGTAGGATGATTTGGAGATGCCAAGTCTGCTGTTGACATAGTCCAAGAAGCGTCCCTTGTGCCCATCCCCAAATGTTTCCAGCAGTTTCATCAAGGACCTTGCTATCAGCATTACTTGTTTTGATGCCAGTACATCGGTCGCTTTGAGTTGCTTCATATTCAATCGGATTGATTTCGTCAGCTGGTTTTTGATTTCCACAGCATCCAACCCAGTAAAGTTGTATGACGACGACTCATCCAGCACACTGAGAGATTGATGTCGTAGTGTAGCATTTCAATAAGAATGCTTTAGACTTTTCAGTGTCTGTTTTGACAGTTTCTGGTGTTCTCATTGAACTGGTCCATTTCCTTTATTATAGACCAGACAAACTGGACGTCAATTTGAGTGATGATTGTCCAAGGTTATATTAGGTGCTTCTTGACTCAGTCAGTAAAACGGCTGTAATCACTCATTTGACTCATTTGAAGTGCAGTTGTCATTTTTATACTCGGACACCACTGAAATGTTTTAAAATGTGAACTTTTTTGAATATGAATTAGTCTCAATTCCAATAATACGTCATTCCAAGCAGCCCATTTAACGTCCCTGACCTTGCAATTTTTTTTCTTTCCTTTTAAAAAAACAACAATGTTGAGAATAGTTCGTCACAGCAGCACCCTGGCCAAACTATGGGTGAAACATAATGGCAGTCAAGCCACTCGTGTCTACTGCTGGCTGCTTAAATATCAGTGACCTTGCCAAGGCCATCAAGCAGGAGCTCTCTCCGAAGCTCAACTCCTACTCCTCTGCTCAGCTTACCCTCCACAAGACATCGGATGATACTGCTCTTGAACCTGATCTTCCACTTGCGAGCATTTCCACTGCTGGTCTGTCCGCCAAATTACCTTTGATTGTCAAGACTCTGGAACCCGCGCCGAGTAGCCAAAAACCATCTTCATTCAGGATATTGATGAAGAGTGCCGTCCTTTGGATAGCTTTTCCAAATATCTTGTTGAATCAAATGATGATTTGAAACAGATCCTCGAAGGAAAAGGCTCGGCTCTCTACCAGCTGTTCAATCCCAAGGACAAGATTATCAAGTTCAAGCAGTTGATTGATGGGGAAAAGTACAATGTATATTCTCGCTACGAACGGTCGTTTGCTGACGAAGTACGTTGGCAGCAGAATGAAGACAAAGCTATGGAGGAGGAAACTCACTTGGCCGTGAGGCGATTCCTTGCTACCCATCTTGGTCCTTCAGCTGTAGATATGCCAACGGACATTATGGCTGCAGACGGAAAAACCATTGTCCAGGAGTGGAATGCTGTCTTTAAAGATGGAGATGTCCTGTACTTATGCGAGGCCAAGCATAATATGACCGATAAACAAGTGAACAAGCTCCCTGCAAGAATTCGCAAGTTCAAGGAGTTTCAAGCCAATGCCCAGCCAGAATTTCGAAATGTCACAAAGTATGTTGGGGTGTTGTGTGGTACGTTGTTTCCAGAGGATATTAGAAAGATCGCACACCTTGGATTCATTTGCGTTTATCCATCAGGATATTGTTACGATGTCAAAAAGCCGGAGGATTTCATCATTGAACGTTAATTGTTGTTTGATAATAAAAATAGCTTTACCAAATTTTGAAAATAACAACTGAGTAGTCTTGCATAGAAACAAATATAACAAATTTCAGGCAATTAGATTCTGCTCAGATTCTAAAAGTCAAATTCAGATTCTAATTAGAAACTAAATGCGTTGAATGTCGGAAAGAATTATTTATGACGAAAGTTTGATATGAAATTATTATACTATTAACTTTTGACCATTTCAGCAGAGAATCTCGCCTAAAAACTGGTATCATCGGATGCCCTATATACTACTGACATTGTTCTTATCGATGGGGTTAAACCTGTTTTGATGGAACTGGAATTGATTGAACCATCACTATATCTATCGTATGATGATACTGCCCTCGAGAAATTTGCCAATGCAGTATTTGCTTTTTTGGAAAAGCAATAATTGCTCTATATTGATTTTTTGATAAAGATGGAGTTTGGTTTTAATGCACAAATGATCTGGGTTGGTTCTAGGCTGGTTTATCCTGTTTCGATACTATCAAGTGCTCACCAATGCAGCTAATTCTTTGTACGAATAAAATCAAATATGTCCAACTTTACTTTTACAGTTGTATTTTCAATTAAACTCCACTCTATTGTATCCTAAACTATCAGATATTTTTCCGTTCTAGTTCAAGAGAACAAGATCGCAGGTTTCGAGAATATACTTGTTTTTATTTCAATCACCAGGATACCAGTCAACTTTGTCAGTTCAAATGACCCAATGTTGTCCAGTAAACTGGCACAACCATTTCATAAAGTTGGTTTTATATCATGTATTTTGACATCCTTATTTAATGTTCCATTTTACGTGAATACGTCGGTGATTTAAATCCTATCAACTTGTCCAAACATTGTTTTGCAAACCCTGACAGTATTTCATAGACTACAAAGTTGCATTCACTATATAATACGCTAAACCATGAATAACTTGCCATAACGGGAGTTTTACACCATTGTTGCTGGTGGTGTAGCTCTTGCTGCTAATGCCGGTTTCATCAATGTCGTCTCTATGGCAGGTGTATTTCCAGGCAAGTGCCATGAACCGTGTATCTTGTCGCGCCATCTTCAGTTTGACTTGAATACATGATTGAAGTCTATCCTATCCTTGCATGTATTTCAATTCATAGTGCACAACACAATATATAGTGTTTATTTACCACTTGAATACATATTTCTTTGACCATTTTGCATATCAAATGCTCCAAACTCGCGTTAGTCTGACTCAAACTATTGATTGCTACAACACGCTTCTTGTATTCTAATGATTTGTTTTCATAATGCTATGGATTGTGTTATTGCAAAACACAACATTTTCTGATACCACAAACCAATTGGTGGCTGCTCACTAAAACCTGTTCACATTGACACAATTATCAACTGAACCTATAGGTGTGCGGTCTCTCATGTCACTGGATCGGTTTCTCGGGTTGCTATATCGGCTGTTCAGCAAGACTGGGAAACATTTCTTTTGGTCGTATCTATTATTGTATCATTTACATTTGGATCGTTTATGGCTGGATTTATAGTGGGCGACAACCGATTCAAACTTGGTGCCAATTACGGAATAACACTGTGTATAGAATCTGCTGCGTTGTTTACATCGTTTATGTTTTTGCGTCGAGAGTTGGTATTGGGCGAATGAGCTGCAGCATTTGCTTGCGGATTACAAAACGCAATGGTGACTTCTTACTCTGGGTTGGCTGTTCGCACAACACACATGACAGGAATCGCTACAGATGTAGGAAATATCTTGGGTCAAGCGTGTCGATCCGATACCAAGGCCGAGTTATGGCGTCTCAAGGTTCATGTTCCTATTCTTTTTGGGTTTATTGCAGGTGGCATGTGTGGTCAAATCGCATGGCTTTCTATTCACGAATATGCTCTCCTTGTCCCGTGTATATTCACTGGTGGTGTTGCCGCTTTGTATCTCACTTTACCGTTTATCAAAGATGCGGCAGAACAAATTAAACACGCTCTTCCTCATGAACTCCATTTTATGGACAACTATGAAGGAGATCCTCGGAAATATAAAGAGTATCATAAGGAGCAGTTGCTGAAGCAAGTAGATCACTATGCAAAAATTACTGGCAAGAATGTCGATGATGAAATTCGAAGGTTTTTGAATGATATGGTTGGAGACGATGAAATTGAAATGGGAGTATTAAATAGCGTATCCATCAGCAGTACTGGCAAAAGAGATAGTGGATCATCTAGACTGCTCAGTTCAAGACGTGGACAATCTGCATATGGAGCAACAGATGAAGATGACGACTTACCTAAACAAATAAATATTTAAATTATAATCACATGGATCGAGTTTGATTATCAATCGATTGGTTGGGCATTTCAAGTGATTAAATGGTTTATACAGTCGTATTCACGCAAAATGGATCACCCAATACGAGTGTCAATATATAATAAACTGCCAATCTCATATGACGATTTACATTGCATTTACTGTACAACATTTTCATTGAGCTTTTTTACAAGTCTTCTGGTGATTGGCATGCAGAGTTGCATTCTCAAGACATGCAATTCTTGGTTTCTTGAACTAGAACGTAAACGTATCTGATTTTAGCATACAAATGTTTGTACAGTTTGATTGCCATCAAAACAGTTTAATCTATGCATTGCAGTACATCAATCTGGTGATTGTACAACGTATGACTACCAGAAATGAACTATTTCAGTTCAAAACTATCGTTTGTATGATATGATGGATGTTGCATCAGTCAAAAATGTCCATCAAGTCAATCTTTAATATGACAGTGTAACAAGTATTCAACCAGTGTTTACTACAAACTAAAACAGTCACATTCATTGCAATACCAATACAAAACCATTCCATTTACATCATTATGGTGTAATTAAACGATGATCATTTGATCTGTAGTCAGAATCCAAGTGCATGTTACAACACTGCACCAACCAACTGTTTGAAACATACAGTATTCTAGCAGTATTCTACAAATTGTTGCTACTACATGATGATGCAGTTTATGTTAATTTGTGTGAATCAAATCAAGCTTATAGTTTAATTAGAGTTTAATGACATGCTCGTAATTGAATTAAACTATTCTGCGTGTCATGATTCGCATTAATATTGTATTGATGTGCAAGTATAAAAACATCTGATTTGGTGTATAACATGCTCGTTAATTTGTCTATTATGAAGTTTACTATTATTTCGACTGTGATTATCACTGCTTCTGCAGTCATTGCTGTTCCTGCCATCAATGACAGACTCCAGTTTAATGCACCGTCTATCAACCAAAATCAAAACACTGGTCTCGATACTGGTCCTGGATCTGGCCCTGGCCTGTCATCTGAGTCTGGTCTTGGATCTGAGTCTGAATCTGCCATTCAGGATGCAGCCAAAATCCCGATTTTTTCAGCTCCAACGTTTTCAAAACCAGTATTTTCACAAAACACTGCTGATACTCAAAACATTGATATTCCACATCAATCATCCGTCTGTTCAGTTGACGATTACGCAAACACCATCCAGAATTTGCAAAATGTAATCCAACAACAAATGTCAACCATCCGTGACATGCTGGATAGATTGCACGCATCCAGTATTCAACAACAAGCAATGCCTGATTCATCATTTGATTCATCGTTTGGTGCACGTCATGATGCATTGACTCGTTTGCATGATTTGAATGATCGTCTTGGCAACAATATGGTCAGATTCACGACTGCTAGTCCATTGGTTATGGATTCATGGTCTGATGTCAAGAGCGGTATGAAACCATCATGTGCCGGAATCAATGCGGCTTCTACATGTCAAGAAAATGCAATCAAGAGTGATGTGTCGTGTGGTGAAGACAAGTCTGCAGCAGTAGATCGAGCCAATGCAGTGCGTGGATTCATACGTGGCATTGCATTGCAAAAACTTGCATTGTTGGACTGTGCAGCATCTAATCTTGGACAGCAATATCAAGGTAACCAAAAAACACAGCTACTGCAGCAACTTGATCGTGTTCGTGAAGCCACGGCAAAACTTGAATTGCAGTTCAAATCGCTATCATGTCGTGCCAAGCAACTAGGCAGCTGTGATGCCAAGATTGGTGAGTGTAAAGGTGTTCGAGATAATACACGCTTGGAACGACGATGGATCAACCCCGCCATGTTTCCTAATATGAATCCAGCATTTTTTCCAGGAGTTGGTTCTGGTGTAGCTCCATTTGATCAGCCCTGGGTTGGAGTTTATACATTTAATCCCAACTTTTACTATCTAGGGTACTATCCAGAATACAACACAGGATACGGTGCAGGAGTTGCTCCGGGATATGGTGTAGGCATGTAATAATTGAATCTACCCATTTTTTGTTAGCACACCTAAAAAGCTTATTATATCCAGACCGGGAATTTTCCCATGCTTGATATATTTTTGCAATTCTGTTCACACTTTGACACAATAAACTCAACTTGCATGTATGTGAATTTGTAATATTGACTTGAAGGATGTTTAAGCTATTTTATTATTTGTTGGAATGGATTGTAAAGCTGTATTTGATTCGAATGTGGGAATAAAACCTTGCAGTTGAGGAATATAAAAGCCAATACACTATCTTTATTGATCAACCAATCTTGGCTATTTATAAAATGTATCTGTTTACTATTATAACTGCAGTGATGGTGCAGATCGCAGCAGCCATTCCATCTTATACTACTATGGGTTACACGACTGAGAAACGCGATTTGGGCACAGGTTGTCCATACACTCTTGATCAATATGGGACTGCTGCGATGCAGTTTCATACCACCATGCAGCAACAACAAACAGCCATTCAAGCACAAGTTCAGGCCACTGCTACTGCCATAGCAACCAATGGCGTAGCTATTGCT